GTATCTAGAAGTTGTTGAGGTCTATGTTCTGAAACTTCTGGGAACCATTTTGAATGATTTTGACCTTGCATCCTCTTGGGTCGAGAATGCTAAATTACCTGAGGACAGAAGACAGGTAAATAATCTATACATCATATGTTTGATTCTGTACCACGAGAATTAATTGAAGTGGTTTTATTGGTTAAGTTCACTCTATGTCTATACAAATTTCACCCTTCTTTGTTTTTTGTTTAATTTTTAGAAGGCCTTTCTTTGTGAAATTGGAGACAAAAGCTTGTTGTGGGGTTTAGATTCTCTTTCTGATGTGAGTTTGTACCACAAATAGCAGTCTCATGCTAGAGAAACTCTGTTGTCTAGATATGGTTTGACTGAGATTCAGAAGACACTGTCTCTACAATGTTAGGAGGGCAACGCCTTTCTGTCTGCTGAAAGGATCTTTAGACACACACAAGTACATAAGACATTTTCTGGTCGAACTTAGTGCTTGAAAAATGAGCTTTTTCCTTATACCAAGTTGAAATCATGTTGTGTATCCTATTTTTTGTGCTATGCCACTGAATTTCGCAAGACACTCAGTGGTCCAACCCCAAGCTGTCATCAAATTTAATTTCAGTATTCTTACACATATTTCCTGGTACTCATGTGCGGTAATTGCGTAACGTATTTCTTTTTTGACAAAGTGAAAAGGTCATGTGGTTTTAAATTATTTTGAGAACTGGAAACCGTCCAAATAATTGCAAAACCTTTCACTTTTTATATTAGTCTATTTATGGGAGTGCTATGTCTCTGCCATTTTTGCATGGTGAGTAGCACTCCTTATTGAGTACAAGTATGGCTCACTCACTTATTGAAGAAGTTTTCTTCCCCAGTGATATGACACTGCCCTGTAACTTCTTTCTTTTCTTGAATTATTGACATATTGCTAGGTTGCGTTATTTAACTTAATTTAAAATGGTACAGTTGATTGAATTTTTAGGTTAAAAGAAATTGATACCACTTCAGTTTCTTCCATGTGTTTTCCTAGGTACTTCTGAGAAGATTACACTCACTGCATTCTGTTAAAGCCACTAATTCCTCACAAGGTAACTTCTCATCTTTGCTGGTGGACGACAATGAAGCTCATTCATCATGTTTGCAGCAGATAACTGTGCCAGACGGACATCCTAAAACCAAATACCCTCCAAAGGGAGACACTGCTAAGAACCAAGCAGTTTTTAATTTATCTAAAAGATTGGAACCATGTTTCTGGTGGTTCCGTACCATCACTCTGAAATTTGGAAGTGCTCGGGTGGTAATATCTAATGGAAAGATTGTCCTGGGCTTCTTGATTCTGCTCATATATTATGTTTTCCGGAGGAAACAAGCTACCATAAAGAGGTGAGATATTCTCTCTTCATAGTCAACATGTATGCATTCAATATCCATGGTCATGATATTGGTTCCATTCCCTCTAGTCATCATCTAAGATAGTTGCCGCCTTGACACGGGTTAGCTTCTGTATGGTAAACACACTTGTTTGCATGAAAATTAGTCAATATCCTTATTTTGGTAAAATGGACCTGTTGTCTGAAATTAATCATAGCCTTTTTTGGTAAAATGGATCTGTTGCATGAAATTAATCAATATCCTTTTTTGATAATGCTGTCGTCACTGCCTGGGTGGACAGTTCAGTAATTTTTTGAAAAACAAAGGTCACTTTAACTTGTTACTTTATACTTCTTTTAGTTACGAATGCTGATTATCTGCACTCGACTGGTTGCCCCTCTTTCCCTTGTGCAAATTTGACTAGTGAGTTGGATGACACCTTAGCCATACAAAATTTTTAATAATGCTGGATAATTGTTTGAAATTATTTAGATGACAACAAACAAGCGGATATTATTTGTCAGTGTCATGTGGATACAGATGATTCACATGATATATAATAAAGAATTGAATTTGATAGTATAATACTGAAAATGTGTTCATATCTGATTCGTAGGACCTTTTTAAATTTGATTTCTCCAAAGGACACAACTTGTGTGCACCCATGCTTAATACTTCATTTGGAAGATTGAAGAGAATCACCTTCATTTATTTTAACAGGAGAGCAGAGTTACTCAGGTGTTATTATTGTTTGCAAAGAAATTTTTACAAGGTTAATATTCCAAAATAGGTTTGATATATATTAATTATTCTCAATGAAAACTTATGCTCAAACCACAGATATCTATGTTATATTTTACATTGTATAAATTCAAAAGACTCATTACAATTCGGCATGTCTAGATTTGTAGGAGTTGGCTGTTGGACATGTTGTGTGCACGTATACACACAACACTAATGTTCGTATGCATGATTGATTTGAATGCTTATTTATCGTAACACCCCCATGTAGAATGACTGACGCTTCACTTGTTTACTGAATATATGTTACTTGTTCAGTTTTGTTTATTGGTTTTCCTAAATGGAGAATGCACTGATAGACTTTACAGATTTGATGTTTAAATTATTATGTTTCATTCAGAATTGTTCAGAGACGAACTTTATCAATGAAGAATGCTCTGGTAGACTTGTGGCAGCTTGCATTTTCATACCAGGTGAATCCTTTAGCTGCTGTTCAACCTCTCGCGGCTGCAACAAGGTCAGGCCAGTGATAAAGTTTTAGACATTCTCCATTGAGGATTCTTTGCTATAACAACCAACCGCCAACAGCAGAACATTCTCTTCTGTGAAAATGCAATAAGCATGAACAAATCCTGGTAAGAGTGCTATTAGTACCAAATTCGCAGCGATTGTGCTAATTTACCAGTGCAATATAGCTTCTGACGTTGGATTAGTAAACCATGTTTTTGCTATTTTGTTCTGGTTGGGTTTTTATAGGTCACATCACATGTAGATTTAATGATCTCTTTTTAGTACGTTTCAAAGATGAAATGCAGTTTTAAATTAACGGAAAGCAACATAAAGAAAGAAAGAAAATCGAATGGCGTTTACGGAGTTGAGGCTAATGACCGGTTGTACAATTAGTCTGAATTGTTGATAGCTATAAACTCTTTTCGTTTTGGGTAATCCTGAAAACTGAGAATAATTCCTACCAATTTTATAAACTCAAAAACAGATTTTAAGTATAAAACCACAAAAGCCCGTTTGGTAAGCCTATTTTTAAAAACTCAAATCCAAGAAAAACTCAAAAACACCCCATTATTAAAAACAAAAAAAGTGAGGTTTTATAATTTTTTTTATTCTCTCGCCTCCCTCTCTCCACGCACTCTCTCACGTCTTAATCTCTCCTCCCTCTCTTCAGGTTCTCTCTCTCTCTCTCTCTCTCTCTCCTGTCTCTTTCTCTGTCCTCCCTCTCTCAACACTGTCTCTCTCACGTCTTAATCTCTCCTCCCTCTTTTCACGCTCTCTCTCCTCCCCCTCCCTCTTCTTTTGTTAATTTCAATTTGGGAATCTAGTATTTCTGATTTTCTGATTTTAATTTCAATTTTTTTAAATCTTAAAAATAGTTTGGAGTTCAATACCAAACGAGTTTTTAAATCTTAAAATCATTATTTGAAAACTCATATTAATTAATTAAAAAAATCATAATTTTTGAATTTATTTTTTCAGTAGATACCGAACAGGGCCTTAATCCTTTCTTTGTTTTCTAAAAATATAATTGGGTTGTGCTAATATGGATTCATGTTCTCTCCGATTCCAAGTTAATAAACATGCTTTGCCATAAGATGAGATCCAGCGTTGACCAGAATGTTGATGACGTGGAGGCGTGCTCAATAGGGGCAAAAACAAAGGTTTTCACCTCCACAAGTCCAATCCACTTAAAGACGCAAAAGCAACCGCGTTTGTAGCAGCAGCACTCACATCACGTGGTCCATAGAAAAATAAAAAGACCAATTCAACAAGAATATGAAAGGTGCCTTGAAAATGAAAGAAAAACAATAATGACAGGTACGGATTGAATTTAAGATATTGCATTTGCAAGTGCAGCTGCCATACAAAACCCTAGGAAGTGCCCCACCCACGAGAAACACTTGCATGCACCGG